TTATATATACTGTATATGAAGGTACACTTAACATCAGTCAGTCGTTATAATATATTATGATAATGAAGTATTATTTATTGATAAAACTTTAGTAATTAGAATTAAAACGAATTGGTAACTATGTATGAATGCATATTAGTCGTTTTAACTGAACTTAGGACTGGTGGTGGTGCTTTTTTTGGTCATTCAGTTTTTCTGTAAAAAAGATGGGAAAAGCTAACAATAATACTGATAAGATAATAATAATACTACGAATTCTACTAAGAACAATGTAAAACACACTAAGGATTAACGAGCTGCTGGATTCATGAATATTAATAAGGTTGTGTGCGTTCGCTTGAACTGATTTGCTATAATAGGTGAGCGCCAGCCAAAGAGATTGTTGTTTGCGCATTAGCTCCGCCCACTACCGGAGAACTCTGTTCTTAAAAGCTGAAGAATTTCAAAGGAACGTTATTTTGACAGGAAAATACAACAAAGAATATCGTTTACATGTAGCGCGTCAATTCTGCATGGTATATAAAACTCTCTCGCTCTGCGTGCGAGAAAAAAGCAAAGCGATGGCGAGTCGTGCACTTCACACTAGAGTTTACGGTGCGTCAAATACAGGTGCGCTGCGCATCCATTCAGATGAACTGAGAAATATCACAGATCAGTTGACAGAGAGTGAAACTCTGAAGCGCTCAGTCAGAAAGTGTTCGGCGAGTGAAAATATATCTGTGCTAAACTTATACTTAGCCTCCAACTCACACACTGGCGAATTAAAACTGAGAATTTATTAACCAGAGGCTAATATTAGACATCATTTAGTCACCCAGAGTAAAGATTTAGTCACATATGCGAGTGATTTACTCACAATGTAGAGGGTTGTTTAAAAGAAAGTGAAAATTTCAGACTCGGTGTGCAATGACCTTTACTCTTTTCACTTCTATTGACACACATATCGAGTCGCTTCTAAAAGCTGTAAAGCGAGTGAAACTCACCTCGACAACCCCTTCGCTGGAGTCCATCAATAACCGACCTCCGGAAACAGGAAAATCACAACAACATAACGGCATTAATGCTGATGAATCATGTTAGATTGATCTTCGACACACGGTTTTATTAACGAATACCGACCTTCTCCAGCCGTGAGATAGTTAGTGCCAGCTTCTGATCGAGTGCCGTCCTGAAACAGAGCAGGGATTGAAAATGAGCAAAACTGTGTGTTTTAGAAAACAACTAATCGACTAATCAACTAAGAAGCCCTGATTAGGCTGGTTTCAGGTTCACGTGAAACCTGACGTGTTTCACACTGAATAATAAACAAAAAAGTGCCGCAGAAAGGAAACAAATGCAACTACTTCTACCTTTAAATCTTGTCCACATAATGAAACAGTAGTTTCTTGTTGGTCCTTTAATTTAGTTACTTTTCAGCCCCGGATAATCCTAATTATTAAAGGAATAGTTCACCCAAAAATGAAAATTTGATGTTTATCTGCTTACCCCCAGGGCTAAGACTGCAACGGTTGGACTTAAAAATCATCAAATGTGCTCTACTGAAGAAACAAAGTCACCTACATCTTGGATGCCCTGGGGGTAAGCAGATAAACATCACATTTTCATTTTTGGGTGAACTATCGCTTTAAGTGCAAATTCACTGGAGGAAGCGTTATTATGGACTCATATTTTGCCCAAAAGCAGTTGTTTGAATTTAAAACATCCTCATGATGGAATTATTTCTTACAAACACAGCTTTTGCTTTCAGAAGATGTTAACTGATGGATTATTGTGATGTTTTTATCAGCTGTTTGGACTCTCAATCTGACGGCACCCATTCGCTGCTGAGCAAGTGATGCAATGTTACTCATCTACGTCTTGGATGGCCTGAGCATGAGTAAGTTTTCTGCAAAGAATATATTAAGCACAAATCTCACCACATCCTGCTGGATCTTCACTCGCACTTGGCTGGCTCTTCGTTTGGCACTTTCTATTCGCTCCTGTAATGAAGGCGAGGGGTTTTGAGACTGTTCCTCCAGAAGGTTCTGCACAGTGAGAGCAGCACACGTCATTAATGATGGGTTCAAACGCGACTCGACTCATGTTCAGAGGAGCACTGATCTGATACCTGCAGCTCTGCCTCCTCCTGCTCCAGCATCTTTCTCAGGATTTCTGTGGCGTGTTTCTGCACCTCGGGGTCCTGCGAATGATGAAAAGCCACATTAAAATGATGAAGGAGTTTACTAATCAGGGCATCTGCTGTATTTCGGCCCAAATTCAATGTTTTCCATTCGATTTGTTTCTGGATTTCATTGTAATGGCTTTATTAAATCTTAATAATCAATTGAACTCATAAAACTTTAACAATTCAACCACAAATTTTAACAGTAGTTGTGCCCTATGAAATATGTTATATATATTCTTTTTATTGTGTTGCTTGTTTTATTTTTTTATTCCATTTTAATTCATACAATTTTTAATAATCAAAAAGAATGAAAGAAAAGATTCATTAAATTCATAAAACTTAATTATAAAAGTTATATTTTAATGGGTTAATTCAACTTTAATAATCAATTGAATTTATAAAACATTAACAACTTAACCATTTATTAACATTTTAACAATAAGAGTACCCTATATTACTTTTTTTCTCCACAAAGTTTTATTTATTTATTTATTTTATTGTTTTCATTTTTTTGATTCCATATTAAGAGATTAAATAAATTCGATTTTAATAATTAACAAGAATTTATTTTCAATGTATTATTTTTAAACTTTAACAACTAAACCATATATTAAAATTTTAACAGCAATCATGAAAGAGTGCGTTTTGAAAAGTGTTATTCATTTCTGAAATTCTGTGTTGTCTGTTTTCAATTTTCTGGATTCTGCGATTTAATGAATAAAAATCAAATGAAATTTGAACAATCCTTTAATTTTTTTGGCAAACAGTGCTACAAAACAGAGTTTAAATTAAATTTAAATAAAAAATTGTGTGATACTCCTTAAAAATAATGTATTATTATTTTTGCTTTGAGAAGCACATTATACTATATAATAGTAATATATCTCTGTCATAATTTCTTCAAGTAAATCCGAACTGTTATTTTAGCCAATTGAGGGCCCTACAGCTGTAAATAACAGTCATTAAAAAGCTTAAAAAAGTGGCACACCTGTAATGGTTTGGGTCCCGTGATTCTCTGAGTCGGGGTGCTGCTTCCTGTGGGAGGTGTTGGTGGAGGAGGCGGGGCTTCACCAGGTGCTGTCTTGTGATTGGGCAAGAGGTCAGTGGGGAGGGGCTGAAGCGGGACGGACGGGACTGAAGGAGGCGGGCCCTGAAGAGTCAACGCCACATACGTCCCAGCTTTCATAGGAAGAGGACACACGTCAGCACTGACAGTCTCCACAACTACAAAAACTAGATGTTAGGGATGGGCGATATCTTATCGTTTGCGATATACCGGTAAAAATTCTCCCCACAATAAGAATTAGTCTTCCCGCGATAATAACGATAAAACCTAGTTGTTGACATATTTCTGTGTGCGACCGTGCAGAGCGGTCGTGAAATTGAGGAGGAGTTTATTTATCGCTAAACGAAGAGCTAGTCTACAGTCTGGAACTGGTTTGGTCAGGGCTGTACAGTGCGACAAAAAAAAACGGTCTGAGCCTTGAATAAATGTACTACAGTAACACAGTTTTGCATGTGTATGAGCCTGTTTACAAACAAAGCTACCATTTATCGACATGCTTTTTCTCCAAATGAACTTCATAACATCAGTTGAGTGTTTGAAATAACTTTGTGATCAGATGTGGTTTCACACTACAGAATGAGGCAGAAATAGTATACAGTGATAAAGTCTAATTGATTAGCGTTGCATTATAAATATACTTCACCCTTATAAAAATACCCAAGATTGCTTGAATAAGACAGATAAACCATATATTGTCGCAATCGTATGTTTATTGTCATCAAGTTTCCTCAGTTAAAATTTCTCTCTCTGCATTTTATTCAGCGATAACTGGATACCTTTGTCCATATTAGGGATTTCCTGGAACGTCATCAGTGCAATTACTTCTGCGATGCATATGTGGAGTTTCTGCAGAAGAGCGCCCTCCGGCATCCAGTTTGAATTAAACAGTCATTACATTACGTGTGTACTCCGTAATGCTCACGACACCAGGGTAAAAATAGGAATGATAATACTTTTCTCTAAAGAAACAGGATTTTGTTTGCCTCTTAGTGGATGCATGAGATTCTCTGAATTATCATCATTGATATCGTTATCGCAATAAATACCAGAAATGATCGTGCTATACTTTTAAGCTCACATCGCCCATCCCTACTAGACGTACAACTACTAAACTCACATTTGATCATCTTCACCACTTCCTGATGAGACATGGACGAAACCAATGGACCATTGACCTGAAAGGCAAACAGAGATGACAAATATGAGGTTAGTTATTAATTAAATTAGCATCACTTTTGTTTTAGAATGGAAAGCGTGTTGTGATCGAGAATGCCTTAATGATCCGGTCTCCTTCCTGAACTCCAGCCTTGACCACCGCTCCACCTGTGAGGACAGAGAAAGCAGGTTTGACTGTGATAGTCCTTTACTGTTTATAAGTACATTACCGTTCAAAAGCACGGCTTTTTTTTGCTCAGCGAGGCTGCATTTATTTAATCAAAACTATAGTAAAAAAGTGAAATATTATTACAATTTAAAATAGCTGTTTTCTATGTTAACATACTTTAAAATGTTTTTTTTTTTTGCTGTGATCAAAGCTGAATTTTTTTAGCATCATTACTTCAGTCTTCAGTGTCACATGATCTTCAGAAAGCACTCTAATATGCTGCTCGAGAAACATTTCTGATTATTATCAATGTTGAACACAGTTGTGCTGCCCAATATTTTTGTGGAAACTGTTATGCATTTTATTTTGTGATGAATAGAAACAGCATTTACTTAAAGAAAAATCTGAGCAATTTAATGCATCCTTGCTGAATAAAAGCATTAACTTCTTTCAAAAACAGAAAAAACTTGGTGCATTTGTTACCTGGCCGAACATTCTGCACTAGTTTGATTCTCTCGCTACAGACGGTGAAACCAAACCCCAGATTGTCTCTTTGCACAACCACACATCTTTGGACTAAACCCGTCCCTATGAAAAACAAACAGAGGAATTTTCAACAAAACCACTTCATTTCTTTCTTGTCATTTGCACATGAGCTTGAGGTGCATTACCTGCGTTGTCTGAGGGGAGATCAGATAGCATCTCCCTCTGCTGACCAGGAGAAGGCCTGCGCTCCGAGTCCCCTAACGTCAAACTGCTCAACCTAAGACAGACAAAAACAATGAGATATCAAACTCAATGCGACAAGAAATGGATAACTAGGGGACCAGGAAGCTGGAGAAAATGACAGAGAACTAGAAAAAAGCAAGGGAATAAGAAGTAGGGAAGGATGCATGCAACATAATTGATGCATGATGCAAAATAAAACTGAAAGTTGGTGAATTTAACGAGATTGAAGACTGAACAAAAAGTAACATTTTTTACAACAGTGCTCGCATTAAAAAAATAGTGGTTGTGTTTTCAATGAGCAACTCAAATACTGATATCTAGCGACAAACAGCTACAAAAATAATATATTTTACACGTTTCTTAAGCTATTGTTACACAATATTTACTATAACTGAAAAAAAAAAACAATAGTAAGCAACAACAACAAAAACAAAACAAAAAAGCATGCATTATCTATAGATTTTAGCCTGGTCTGCCACTAATTATAACACAAAAATAAACCCAGAAAACTCACCAAGCAGCAAAAGGACTAAAAGGAAGCATGAAAGAGAGAAGGAATGCATTACAGTGAGAGAAAAAGAGCGAGAAAAGTAAAGAAAGAGCAAATACTCAACATGAGAGGGACTGTAAAACTGACTGAGAATGTGAAAGACGTGCGAGTGAGTGAGTTTACAGCTCGTGTAACTCCTCCCAAACAAGCACACGGTGGAAGAGGCTTGTGTGATTGACAGCTCAAAAACATGTTTAATAAACATCATTACTCAACCGCACGACGATTAGCACCGGAAACCTGTGGTTAATGACTGACAGATGTCTTGTGCTGGGTTTGACTCATACCTGGAGTCACATGACACAAACAGGAAGTGGACGCACAGTGGACGGGAAAGAGAGATAAAGATCTTGAGACAGAACAAGACACACACAGACAGAAACACACGTGGACACGAATATATGAAGTGATCAGACTTCTGATGGATCAGCGACTCAAGCACAAACACACAGCTGTAACAGAAACTGATGCACCGAGAGCGTAAAAATAGCAACGAGGAAACTAAGGCACACTGGACGAATGGAAAAGCCTGTATTGTTAGACAGAGGACACGACGAGACATTGATCTGAACCTAATGTTACCCTTGCGAGCACATGAAAACTAGCTTGTGTATTCAATGTAAACAATCATTGTGTTTCTGTACTTGCTTCTATCAGCTAAGTGCAGGTAAAAAGTAAAAACTACAGTAAAATCTGGAAAATAGAGTAGAGGTTCAATAACTGCGATAATCGCACATTTCTACTCCAATATCAGGTCTACCGATAAATCTGGTAACTTTTTATTTATTTAGTCAGTCACACTTAAACTAGCGTTCTCAATAAAAGGTAAAGACCTACTGAGTGTTTAAAATCGCTTGCATGTGATACAATAGCTAGGCATGTGTGTTATTCTGCACGGAGCGGTGATCAGCCCAATACTTCAAATTCACTGCAGAGCCCATTTTTATTGGACTCTAAATTACTTGTTTGGCGGATAAAGCATTTCTACAGCGTTATTGGAAACAGAAAAGAGCTGCTTTTACGTGATGCTGCATCCACTGCATAAATGATGCACGAATGCACCGCACAACTGCATTTGTGTCATAGGCTAATGTCACGAATTGCAGACACTAGTTTAGACAAATCTCTGGTGCTTTTTTAAAAAGAATCAAATGCGTGGATCGGGGGCATGCTCCACACAAGAGTTTCTTTTAAAGATATTTGCTTTACATTCTCATTTGTAGTTAAAGGTTTTTTTTTTTAACCTTATATGTCCAAAACTGTCATTTTTAACAAAATAAATAAATAAAATCAAAATAACATCTTGTTGCAACATTTTACAAAAATCAAGATTTAATATATTTGGTCAAAATCCCATGTTATAAATGATGAAGTGCTATTCAAGACAATATGTGACCCTGCACCACAAAACCAGTCTTAAGTGTCAATTTTTCTGAATAAAAAGCTTTCCATTGATGTATGGTTTGTTAGGATCGGACAATATTTGGCTGAGATACAACTATTTGAAAATCTGGAATCTGAGGGTGCAAAAAAATCTAAATATTGAGAAAATCATCTTTAAAGTTGTCCAAATGAAGTTCTTAGCAATGCATATTACTAATCAAAAATTAAGTTTTGATATATTTACGGTAGGAAATGTACAAAATATCTTCATGGAACATGATCTTTACTTAATATCCTAATGATTTTTGGCATAAAAGAAAAATGGATCATTTTGACCCATACTATGTATTTTTGGCTAAAAATAATAAAAAGAAAAACAAATAGATAGAATACAAAAAGATCAGAGAAGCTAGTGTTAGTTTTTTTTTAACATTTACTCAGATTATAAGTTGTTTACTATCCATTCACAATTATGTCATTAGATTTCAAAAGCTGACACATTTGCCAACTCATTATTTTATGAGAGATGGTATTTAAATATCGTATATTTTGTTGATCAATTAATAGATGACAATGGTCAGCTTTATCCCTTTTCAGAATTTTCCAGGAAATTTGATTTTGGAGCTTCGCTAAAAGAAAATAACATATATTATATAATATATAATATTAACACGTGTGATATCATTTTCTTTTATTATAACTCTAATTCCCGTATTCAATATACTGATAATCTTTTTATTATACTTTGTATTATACTAAGAACCCACTACTGTCAATTTCTCTGGTCGATTATAATTATCTTGTTTTGTCTTTGATTGGACATAAAAAAAAAACATTCAAAAGTCAAAAATTGCTCTCAATGTTTAACCTCGTATAAATAATAAGTTATTTATTTTTTTAGTATGTTTATTTATTTTACTTTCTTCCTTGTATTATTCTTGAAATATTTTGCACCTCTAGTGTTCTTGATATTGTACTTGTTATAAAAAGTATTTTGACTTTAATAATAAAAAATACAATTATAATAAAAAGCCGTGCTACGCCGCTCAACCAATCAGATTCGAGGACCGATTGTATAAAGTAACGTTACTAATACTAGCTAAGATTACGAATGAGTAAATAATACTACCAATAATGCATGGTGTTATTGAAACCGTGAGTGATCGCTAGGTTTCCGTCTCATATAGCAGAAATAAAACAACGATTAAAATGTCACTGTGTATCGCTTTAAGAAAACAGTCTCAGCTGTCCAGTGTGGAGAGCCGAAGACTCATGGCTGCAAACTCTCCGAGCTCTGTCTGTGTATTTGTGAAGTGATTGTATCAGTCTGAGATCATGTCAGCAGTGTGGGGTTAGTTATATTTCCTCTCTCCACTCTTTTGGGGGAAACGCAGTGGTCCTCCTCACCAGCATCGTCCCATTTAATAAACAAACTCCAAATATCCACATAAACCCAGTGAAAACACATACTTCAGTATTTGGTCGTGTCATAACAACTAACGTTACTCTCATGCGGGATCAATACGCCGCATTTCTGCATTATCTCTGGAGTCCAGAGCAAAGATTCCCGAGGACTGAATCATCTTCACACGTTAGGGTCGATTTAAAAACACTATTGTCCGGATTTTGGCGATTTGCACGCGCGCGTTTGGTGGCCAGCGAGATGCATTTGATCCGTGGACGCTTCAACCCTCGCGTCTCTCGATGCATGGATGTTTAAAGTTGATATTGCGTCCCAAAGTGTGTGATCTGGAGGTCTTTAAGCGTACTGTTATCCCAATGTAAACAGACTCGCGCTCGTCCTCTATCGGTTGGATTTCGGTACTGCACGAAAAAAAAAAATCACATTTAAAGGCAGGGTAAGCGATTTGTGGTAGCCAATGTTGATATTTGAAATCATCAAAACAAACACGCCCCTACCCCAAAAGGGTCTCGCCCCTATTTTGATAGCTCCGCCCCACACATATATACGCAACCCAGGCAACGATTAGTTCTGTGAAACAAAGCAAAACCAGTGTTACACCGTGTCTACGGACGTGAGCGGTGCGGCGCAACAAATCCCCGACAGAAAACTGCTGCCGGGTTCTATTTATGACGTGCTGACACAAATTTCAAATGGTTTTCAACGGTCGTTTGATCGCGTCCAGTGTAGGCAGACTTTAGCTGTTGTAGACACGGTGTTACTCACCTATCGAGAAGAAACAAAGCAACCTCGGCGTCCGATCGCAGGCCTTCTGCTCCTTGAGTTCTCTCCAGTGCTGGAAAGCTGATCCGATATTTACACGGGTCCTACTTCTTGCCTTATTGTTCCGCAGACGTTTTCCTCTTGTTTTTTATCCACCATCTCTATCTTTCTGTCACTCAGCTAATGTCTGTCCTGTGTGTTGCGTTAGCTATCTTTAATAACGAGCCAGAAACCCACGTAATGCTCACGTTCAGAACTTTACTCAGGAACTCACGTCATACCCCAGTGTTCCCCTTTTAGCCCCCGGACAGCATCAACATTACACAGAAGGTTCCCTTTATACAACACGCATGAAATCAAAATGGACTTTATTTACTTTACTAGAGCACATTGCTAGTCTTGATGTAAACAATTAATCTGTGCAAGTTAATCCGCTGAAAAAAATTGTTTGTCTTCATAATTATGAATCAAAAACTCCTTCGCAGTCTTCCAACATCTGCGACATACGACGCTGAAAATGCTCTGGGGCCGAGGAGATACCGAATGGTAGACGATTGAACGCATACCTTCCGTATGGGGTGATGAATGTCGCCAAGAGTGAGCTTTCCTCCGACAACGGAATTTGCCAAAAGCCAGAAGTAGTGTCCAGCTTTGTAAATACTTTAGCCCCAGCAAGCATTGCGAGTGTCTGATCAACAGCTGGGAGGATGTGACGTTCTCTCGGCACCCACTTATTTAGGTGTGTCAAATCCACACACAGCCGAATCTTCCCTTGGGCCTTGGGCACCACCACCATGCCCGCACACCATGGGGTGGGCTGAGTCACTTTAGAAATCACTCCCATCTCTTCCATGCGTTTTAACTCCACTCTCACCTTTTCTCTCATCGGCAGGGGCACCCGGCGTGGAGAAGATAAAGCATATGGGACAGCCGCTGGCTCCAACTCGATTTTATATGGCTCCTTTAATTTTCCTAAGCCTGAGAACACAGATGGGTATTTGGCTATAATGTCCTCCTGTTGCTCTTGCACAGTGTGGAGACGCTGTATGAGTGTGAGGGCTTCGATCGCAGGGAGCCCTAATAAGGGCTTCGACAGTCCAACAACTACGTCTGTACAAGGTATGTCTGTATCATTTGTTTTCCTATTTTCTTTTGGGTTAGTCTGTGTTTGCATTGGTCTTATGTTTGTATTTTTTTTGTGTTTGCATTGGTCTTATGTTTGTATTTTTTTGTTGTTGTAGACAGCTAGGACGCTTCTGACTGAGGAATGCGCCTCATTTACATAAATACGCTTTTGTGAAAATACTGCGCTAGATTTATATGTTGTGCGCGCATTGCGTGCGTTTTGAAACATCTGGCATCTTCTAAACGCTTATTAAGCGCATTCAAAAGTTCTAGAATTCTGTTAAATGCGTTGAGTTCAGAGTTCGAAACGTTTGGTTTCTCCGAACCCCACGTTCACCATTGCGTTAATCTCAACCTCATCCGACCCATAAAACACGACAACCACACCCTCCACCACATCCGTTAGCCGCTAGAAAGATGGAGGAAGGACATGCTGAGGTACAAGTTTAGCCCAGTATATAGGGTATGTAATTAAATAAAATAACAGAGGCGTAATATATAGTTTAAGTCTGCCCCAACGGCTTAAAAAAAAAAAAACTCTATTAGAGATGATGTTTTTGTTTGCTGGCTCCGCTTGTGTCAAAAATAGGTAGTAGCTAATGTGGAGGAAGTGACCCGTAGTTGAGTCACTTCTGCTGATATGGGTTTGTTAGATACGTGGTGTTACCTCATAGGGTTACATGCTAGTCAAAAAGTAGCTTAAATTGGGACATCATGTGTGAATTCCCGAACTCTATATTCTAACTCTATAGACCAATTCAGAGTAGACGTCACAGTTACGTCACTTGAAGCTGCGCGCGCATAGTGGTTGCAGAAAAACACTGGGAACAAGTGGAGATAAATGGGTAAAATCCATGGAATAAAAGAAAAATATATTTTTGTGCCTTTTGATGTCAAGATCGGAATGCAAATAATTTTTATAGAATACTGTCATCAAAGACGCCATTTGAAGCTAAACGCAGACGTTTAAATGGACATAAGGCTATCTCTCCCGGGTTTTCTGCAACCATGATGCGCGCGCATCCTGAATGTTTACAAACCGATAATTGGTCTATAGCTTAGATCTTAAAGAAACAGTACACCCAAAAATGAAAAAAACGAGAAAAAAAGAACTGTCGTCATTCCAAACCCAACCCCATGTTTACTCTGCTTTAAAAAGGAGATCTTAGGCAGAATAAACCCTAACCCTAAATTTAAATTGCTGTTTGCTGTATTGTGAATCAGATTTGAGAGTTATGGTAGAGGGGAAAAGCACACAATTAACTTACAATCCCACATAGTAATTTATAGTAAATACTATAGTGTTTTTGAACCATACTATAGTAAAGTGTATTATACTGTATATATTATAGTATTTACAACACTTCTGAATGCTACAGCATACTGTAGTATTAACTATAGTGAACTGATAAACTGTAGTATACTTTAGTTTTTACTACAGTAAACTGTAGTGTATTGTAGTATAATATACCCTATAGTTGTGTAGAAAACTTTAGGTAAATACATTTGTTTATATTACTATAGTTGTTATATTACCACATCAACTACAGAATTACCACGACAAATTAATTCAAGTACTTTACTATAGTATGGTTCAAAAACACTATAGTATTTACTGCAAATTACTATAGTATTTTTTTTCATGTGGGATGAAATGTTGGTGCTTTACAGCCATGTTCCATTTGTTGTCATTGTATGTAAGAGAGCAGGCTGGACATTATGGTGTGGAATGTGCTGTTCTCATTGAATCGAAATGATTATTAAAAATCTATAGTTAAAGTTGTCATCTTTGATGTGAACAACACTTAATTCCTAATGTGTTCCACAGAAGAAAGTTGGAGGAGTTAGAAACAGTATTGATAGAGTTTTCATTAATGTATAAACTGCTGCTTAAAAAGCGATCATGAACATTAAATCAGAGAAAAAGTGTGTTAGACACATTTCTTGTGTTGCTTCCCTGAGCTACATTTAAAGGGATAGTTCACCAAAAATTGTGTCATCATTTACTCACCTTCAAGTTGTTTCAAGACAATTTGAATAATGTTGGTAAACAAAGAGTTGCTGGTAGCCATGACTACTGTGGAAGCCAATGGCCTACCAGCAATTATTTGGTTACCAACATTTTTCAAAATATCTTCTTTTGAAGAAAGAAATTCCTACATGTTTGGTACAACACGGGGTGAGAAAATGATGCCAAATTTTTGTTTTTGGGTGACCTGCCTCTTTAAAACCAGTCTGGGGATTGAGTGCATATCTATAACATTTTTTTGGGGATCAGTACTTAACGGTTACGCAACCAAGGCATGAATGCAATACAATGCACACTTTAGTCAATGCAGTGCAGGAAACAGGCCACACAGTTCCTCCTAAAAGCGTCGAACCTCCTAAATGGGCCACATGTTCACACAAACAGGGCTGAAGTGCTTCTCTCGAGCATGTGGTCTTTGTAACACGATCAGTGATTGAAGCTTGTCAGATTTCTCAGCTAATGGCATGCTTTGTTGACGTTATTTTTGTTTTCTTTGCGCGCAAAATGTATTCTCATAGCGTCATAAAATTTAAATTTGCCATTAACGAATAAACTGTTGCTTAAAAAGTGATCATGTGCATTAAATTAAAAGTGTGTTAAGTAGTATGAGACACGTGTTTCTTGGGTTGTTTCCCTGAGCTACATTAAAGGGATAGTTCACCCAAAATGTCATAATTTACTCACCTTTACTCAAGTTGTTTCAAGACAATTTGAATAATGTTGGTAACCAAACAGTTGCTGGTCGCCATGACTTCCAAAAAAATACCATGGAAGTCCATGGCCTACCAGCAACTGTTAACATTCTTCAAAATATCTTGAATTCAGCAGAATGTAGAAACATGTGAAATTCCTACATGTTTGATACAACACAGCGGTGAGTAAATCATGCCAAATTTCTCTTTAAAACCACTCTGGGAATGAGTGCATATCTATCTTTTTTTTTTGGATCAGTACTTAACGGTTACGCAACCCATGCATGAATGCAATACAATGCACACTTTAGTAAAGCCAGTGCAGTGCAGGAAACAGACCACACTAAAAGTGTCAAACCTCCGTAACAGGCGAAACTCTAAAAAATGCTGGGTTGTTTCAACCCAACTTTGGGTCAAATATGGACTAACCTAACCGTTGGGTTAAATTTTTACATTAAATTTTTAACCCAAATGTTGGGTTTTTCTCAATTGCATGTGGTCTTTGTAACACGATCATTGATTGGAGCATGTCAAATCTCTCAGCCAATGGCATGCTTTGTTGATACAGATGGTCCATCTGCCTCTCTTTTTGTCCTTTGCAGAGTCACCAGAAGGACACACATTGCACACCTTTGACGTCCAAAAGCTTCTCCAATCATGCCTCTGGTGGTCTTGAAGTCCTCCCGCCTCACGTGGGTGCGTTTGGCCGCTCTAGTGTTCACTTGTGTGGCGTTTAGCGTGGCGGCCCACGGAGGGGCGGTCAGCGGCGGCATGTACGATTGGAGCATCTTCTGCTGGGCTTTCAGCTTCGCCGGGACCCTGCTGGTTTTGGTGGTGGAGCTCATGGGTCTCCAGTCTCGCGCCCCTGTGTCCTGGAACAACTTCCCTATTACTTTCGCCTGCTACGCTTCGCTTCTTTGCCTGTCGGCGTCCATCATCTTCCCGCTCTACTTCCTGAAGGGCGAAACGAGGCGCGACGAGGCGCGAGACCACCGGATCGCCTCCTCGGTCTTCTCCTGCCTGGCCACCGTGGCGTATTTCGTCGAAGTGAGTCTGACGCGAGCGCAACCGGGCGAAGTCGCCGGGTACATGGCTACGGTTCCAGGCCTGCTTAAGGTTTGCGAGACCTTCGTGGCCAGCGTCATATTCGCGTTTGTCAGCGACCCCGTCTCTTACGACGGTCACTCAGCTCTGAAGTGGTGCATGGCCGTCTACTGCATCTGCTTCGTGATTTCGGCGGCCATCGTGGTCATGTGCGTCGGTGAATGCACCGGGTTCCTGCCGTTCCCGTTCGCACGCTTCCTTTCCGCCTACGCCCTGCTGGCGGTCGCCATGTACCTCACCGCCACCATCATTTGGCCAATCTTCAAGTTCGACAGCCGTCATTCGGGGAGCTCAAGCCGACCACCCATCTGCCAATACAGTCATGGTTTGTGTTGGTGGGATAAACTGGTGGCCGTGGCTGTTCTCACCGCTCTCAACTTCCTGATCTACCTGGCGGATCTGGTGTATTCTGCCCGATTGGTGTTTGTCACGGCGTGAGAGAGCAAATGGTTGTCTTTTCGCTGACACTGAGGAAATCTTTGAAAGCTAAAGATTTTTTGCAGACTGTGCTTCAATGAGTTTGAGCTTTTATTCCAAGTTTCTGGAGGAGGAGGAGGAGGAGGAGGAAAATGTTCAGTGAATAATGGTGCGTTCAAGTCAGAAAGATTGTATTTATGAGTTTAACACACATGAACGCAACCACAAAGAGTGGGAAACAGTATTATTTTAGTCTCGTTGATATATAAACATTACATTAGAAATATTGCCTTGGCAGCTAGCTGAAATTAAATAAGTTTAAGTTGTTTTTTTTTCTATTTAAGTTTAGTGTAAGATTTGGTTAACAATATTTTTTAAGCAGGATTTTTTTAAGCCTTGCGTTTCCGACATGGCGGACGCAACAGATGCAATATCTGTTTTGATGATAAATTTGTTGAAATAAATTCATTTATTTTT